CTATGTACTTGACTCCACGCACTGCCATCTAAGACTTTATACACTCGACCCCGTGACGTTACATAGCTCCAATTACATAGCTCCAAAACTCATGGCTAATGATGCTTTCGGGCCACTCGTCTTCTAGTTTTAATGCCTACAAATCAGCCGAGGTTGACAGGCAGATAGGCGACCGTCGGGGAAGGAATGCCGTTGAGGCCAAGTTGCCCGGGCCATGCAAATGGCTGCCATCAGGCGAAAGCCTCTGTGCCCTGAGCGCCGATGCCAAGAAGGAGGCTTTGAGACTCTCGATGTCCGACCGGCGCGACTTCTATCATCAAATCGCCTCGCCCTGGGGCCGGGCTGTCACTAACCGCCTCTACCCGGCCTTCTCCCCTCACGCCTTTCGGGGTACTGCTGCCTATGATAGGTTGGTTGCTCGGTGTTCGGCGACATGCCTTCGCCTGGCCTTCGGCCATCCGAGCCTCCCCCTTTACCTGCATGGCCTTCGCTTGTGCAGCCCCTTGTGGGCTCCCTTGGTTTTCGCAGCATCTCGGCTGGGCTCTCTGCCGGTTCCCTTGGTCTTTGCAGCATGTCCAGTGGTTTTTTAGGCATACCAAGTACGTTTGCAATAGGTTCCGTTGGTTTTGCAGCATTTCAGCTGGGCTCCCGAAATGGCACGAACACATATACTAAAATACCAGCAACGATGAAAATTGGTACCGGTCCCTCTCTCCCTCCCTCTCTCCTCCCTTACCGGCAACCTGGTCTGCATTATGCTGGTGCCAGCTTTCGAACCCTACGGAGGGCGGCTATCGGAGCTGGCCCTGCGATGTGGGGGGGGAGAGCGTGGGCGGTTGCAGCTGCCAGCTAGCCATTCCATTCCATTCCATTCCGTTCCAACCGCGAACTAACGTAACCCGAACTAACTCGAACCGAAACAACGCAACCCTGTCCGCCCTATGTTGAAATTCACAACGACCGAAACTGACCCAAGCCTGTGCTTTAAGAAAAGATTCGAAGGGCTGCGCATGCAGCAAGTTTTCGTTCTATACGGCAGATTGGCAGCATGAATTCACAAGCCATGCCGGTATGGTCTGGGTTCTGCGACATCTGTTGTCTCTCGCGCAACGTCCGAAAGTCCGTCTTGGAGCAAGCCAGCAGATGACATGACCGTTACATGCTGACATGTTCCTGGTGGGCCCAGATGGTTTAGCGTCTGGTGTATTGCGGGATGATTTGGTTTGAAAGAACATGTCAATGTGGGGCATTGTATGTCAAGTCTTGCTGGCTAGCCACATGTGGCTAGCGCAAATGTTTCAATTGGCTGTGTTTTCGGTGCTTCGTTTACAATGAACTGTGGAAACGGCGAATATAAGTCCAAGTGTTTGCACGTGCTCAGGTGCTCGTCTGCCCCACTTGTTGACAGCCACACGATGAAATGTCGATGAGGCGGTTGTAAAATTTCGCCTTGTTGATTGTTGTTGCTTGCCTGCTTGCTCCTTAAAAGTGTCATGAGTCAAGGGCTGATTTTACGCAACTTTTTGTGTGTTTCTTCAAATGGCAAGTGCTCATTTTGCATCCGCATGTCTCCTGCCTTCATGCCATTGCACCGGCGCCATGTTTGCATTCGTGATTGTATAAGCTGATGTTGTTGCGAGTGTCGGGCGGAACAAGTTCACTAGCAAGTGCTGACACGACGTCTGCTGTCACATTTCAGCAGCCTCAACAAATTTGCAACAAACATATTCCATGTCAGAGCTCAACACAGATTCTGTCGGGTATGTGTCATCGCAACCGTCGCTTGTAGGTGCGCCAAAGCCACTGAATGTTTGCATGGAGATGTGATGGCTTCGGCTGCGCCAGCAGGCTTGCCAGTGATCTTTTGCCACTTGTAGTGATCTTGGGCTGATAGCTGCCTGAATCGATCCGAAGCAGGATTTGTGATACACTGATGTGACATTGCAAAGTGTCTGGCAGTCCCGGATGCACGGCCAAGCAGTGCAGCCAGGTGCGAAGTTGTGGTGTGACGTTGTTAGGGGTTCCATTTCCTAGCCGCTTTCCACATGTGCTGGCAGGACTGGCATGCCTCGTTTGGGGCGGCTTCAAAGTGCTGCCTCACCGGGTCGGGCACGATCTGCCAGTGCTGCACGACAGAGCGCACGTCCTCAAAGTGCCGCTCGTGGGTCCGGCTGGCCTGTGGCTTCGCATGGCCGGTGATCGAATTATGTACACCGTACACAGCTTCGACGCATAACAGGTCCGCTCGCACAGGAGCATCTGCAGCCGCTGCAGCCGCTGCAGTGAAGACCTTGTTTCATAGCCGCGTTTGATCTTGTGCAGTCGGGCTTGACGAACGCGCAATGTGCACGATCTTCAGCAGCGGAAACAAAGAAAGGTATCCAATTCCTGGTGATGTTGGTTATTATCAGCGTCGGCACCTGAGTGGGAAACACAATGTTAATGATTCATGTTCAGTGCGGTGCATGTTGTACTTGCGCTGCTGGATTGCAGGTGCTGATGTCAAGGGCAGGGTCAAGAAGCCAAAGTTGGATAAGGATATGGCCAAGCTCAAGGTCTCATGTCTGCCTTCTGCCAAAAACTCCATGGACTAGCAAGATACCGCATGATTGTCTCGATTCCGAATGGCAGGACCTATTCGCTTTTTGCGAGGATGCAAATTTTCGAGAGGTTCCGGTTCCAGCTGTTGTCCAATTTGTAGGGTGCCTTGTGCATGTTCTTCCTGAGAGAGGAACTGCTGAATTGGCTTGCACTACGTGTTTACCTTTCTTGACGTTTGTTTGATGAGATGCGAAGTTTTGACAGGTGCGGGCCATGGTTTCTCACTATCCATATCTGTTGGGCTTGACGGATGCGCATGGGTTCTCTGCGAGAGTCTCAGGTCTTAAACCGTATGAATGAATCTCGCCGGGTGAGCGGAAGTGTTGACATAAGGCATTACACCACTCAGTGATGTCTGGAGAGCCCTCCTTCATCGCGAAGGCAGCTTTTCTGGGCAAAGTCGCGCTTGTGCAACGTTTCATTCAGATAACTTATGCCTCAGTTGCAATGCTTTTCTGCCTGCAGGTGTTGCAGTTGTACCGAGATCCGAAGACGTTCTCGATAAAGAATCTTGTATACGACACCGAGGAGGTGAGTTGCGGTCACCTGGAGCACCACATAGCATGCAGGCAAAAGGCTTGATCGCATGACAGGAAATGGTGCGAGACATAGAGATGGGAGTTGAGGTACGCCGTGGCGGTGAGCGACTGTATTTTGTGATGGGGGGTTCAGCGAAACCTTGACTCTCGCGTCGCCTTACCCGCTGTGATTGTGCAGGTTGTTGGCAGAAAGTCCGAGAGTCACGTCGAGGCTGCGGGATGCAGGAGGGTTTTTTGCATCATGAAGGGGGCATGGCATGCTCGAATGTCGAAAGGCCACAGCGGTGACGATTGGAAAGGGAAGCAAAGCAGAAGAAGCGGGCCTGATGCCTGGCGACCGACTCGAGGCTTCAGCCCCACACTTGCTCAGGTGTTTTAGTGAGCGTGTCAGTTCCTTGCTTTCCTTGTCGAACTGTCCGAAGAGCAAGACAATGCAATGCTGGACAGTTGGAACACGAGAGAGTACGTCCGGTTTGTCGAAACCAGCATTTATGGTTTATTGGGCATGTGTACCGTGGGGAGAACATGCCTCCTCATGTTAGAACATGCTTGCAGACTTTGGGTTGGTTGAAGGTTGCCTCGAGCCAGGTACCAAACGGCCCATTTGTGCTTGCGACAGCTTGGCTTGCTACTGCTAATGCTGCGACCCACAGCATCACCAAGACTTGATTCATACACAGCCTTCAGCATCCCTGGCCTTGCCTTGCAGAAACAGTGCGGCTCGCACACCCAGTGCCAGCAAAATGGTTGGTAGGTGCAAGCCAGAAGACTCAATCATGCAGTCATGCAGTGCATGACCGCGAGGGCACATTGAAAAGGTAATCGCAGTGGAAGCCAGCTTGCTGCATGTCCTTTCCCGTTTGTGTCAATGGGACTTTGCCCTTCGTTGGCTTCGAAGGCTTGCAGCGGGACCGGCTTCCTGAGTTATCGGCAACCGCCACCACTGTCGACCGATATTCTGGAAGCGCTGAGGAGCTGCGGAGGCTTGTTTTCGTCGCTTAACTTTCAACATGTTCGTACCAGGAGCAAGAACATCTCTACCAGCTTTGGGTTTCCTGTGACTCTGGAGTTCAGAGGGTATCTCGCCTCAGCTTGTCATGGTGTCACGATGTGTCACGGCTTTTGCCGTCAATTCTTGCACCATCACGAGCTTGCGGTAGGCTTATCACTGTCGCTGCCTCGCATGCAGTGTTTTAGCCGATGTTTCCATGGACAGTCGAGGAATGCTGCCGTTGAGATTCTAGCTAAAGATGGCTGGGCTCCAACTCATGGTGCGGCAGGCGCTTCAGTGTCGCTTTGATAGACACTGCTCCGAGCCATTCAGAAGCAGGCAGAGGCGCACATGGAGACAAGCAGATTTTATGGCAGCTCCTGAATGAGGAGGATCGGCTCCGGACAATTCAGGAAGAACCCATGCTTGTAGGGCTTTCCGGAAGGATAAAGCCAGCCTGGTGCAAGACATGACGGGATGTACACCCGGACACTGGCCTGGACCACAGCGCAGAGGTGGACATCATGTCTGGTGCACAGTGTCTGCATGGAATTTTCAGGGCTCAAATCGAGAAGCAGATGAGGCAGTTTGGTTCTCAGTCCGATCGGCTCTTCAGCGAACATGTTGTCAAGACCTAGCAACACCCGCAGATGTGCGGAGCTGCCTTTACACACGGATCCGTAGTACAGGAGAGAGCGAATGTTTCATGTCTGGACTGCAGGGAGTCTGACGAGGGATAAGCCAATGCAACCGAGCGACGTATGAACTGATTCCGTCTGAAAGGCTGAAAGGTATCGCGACAAAGAGCTTGGTTCGTTGAAGCTCAAGCTATCCACCACATAGTAGGAGGTCCCCATGCAGCCGCAGTCAAAGCCGAGGTCGGATTCTAGGCTATTGGTTCGAACCACCCTGCCGGCGATGTCTCTACTTTCTCCGCCGTTCACTGTGGATAGAGGCTGCTGCATTCTGACTCCATTCTAGCTCTTGGTCGCTGAGCTTGCCTTGGCTGGGATTGTCCCCAACATCAAATCTTTGCATGCGCCTCCGCAGCCAGCAGCGCACCGCACTAAGGCGGGCCAATCGTCGTCCTTTGAGCGCTGGGCCGTGCGGATGTGGCTGGAAACGCCGCCCGGCAAAGAAGGCAGGGCTCAGGGCAAAAGCAGCACTATTGTCAGCATGTGCACGCGTGAACGTGTACTATGAGGCTTCAGCTGGAGTAATTGAGCAACGGCGTCAACGGATCCATGATCGTTTGTTGTGTAAGCCCCTTAAACGTGCCTGTGGAGATCTCATATATCCAAGCACGACGAAAGGCCGCACAGCTACAACAGACCCAGCACGGCTCGATAGAGCAACTCTCCTCGGTGCGCGCCTTTCTTTCGTGCTTTCTCCAGCATAAACCAATCATTGCCGCGAAGCGCTGTACTGAGTGCTGGCACTGACATGCCTGTGCATGAAAATCGCGGTGAGACAGAGGTCAATCGGATTTACTTCGTAGCCAATTAGCTTGAGCATGCTTGAGCCCTTGACGCCTTGGTGGGTTCGATTGAGAGCCCTGAGAAAGCTTGCTGCCCTCTCTCAGTTTAATAGAGTTGGCAGCCTTCAGTAAACTACGAGAGCTTCCTGCAAAAACGGGTTGTCCGGCGTTGACTCAAACCGGGCTTCTGCTTTGTTTGATGGTTTTGTAGTGTGCAGCGAGGTGGGCAGAGGGATCGTGGTGGTTTCTTTGCACACTTGGAAGGCATCTTTGCGACCGGTTTCAAAGCTCGTGCTGATCTCAGCCTCACCAAGAGATCGACGAGTGCGTGGAAGTGTGAGCAGTTGTAAGATGTTGCAAGGTCATGGCACCGTCATCTGCGGATGCTGAGGACATCGTTCGTTCAGATTCTAAAGCTGCAAACGCAGTTGCGGTTTGGTGGTGTTGTTATTGCAGAAGCGCGCTACATGTCAACTGGAGCACGCATGAAGCTGCTTGCGATGCTGCTGTAATGTTTGTCTGTGGTACTCAGAACTCCAAGGCACCTCGCTTGTCTGCGGCACCAGCGCCTTGTGTGAGCCTGGATCTCAGAGAGCCGACGGCCAGGGCCTAGTGGGCCTAGTGCCCCGCCCCAACGCCACGAGAGCTGCAGGTCGACCCATGTCTCCGGCCTCCCCCGTGGCGACTCCGAACGCCGGAACCGCCACTACAAATGCCAGCATCGGAGCGACTGCAACTTGGCATTCGGAGATTCCTGTCCATGTGCGCCGCCATGCGCCGCCCCGCGGCCACAGGCAAAGGACCTGGCCAAGATGATGCAGCAGAGCAGTACCAAGCCAGGTCATGTCGATCTGTAGGCAGGACATGTTGATGATCAGTAATCTGCTTCTCGACATTTCCAGCCAGCAGCCGTTTGTTTTAGCATGCTCATAAGGCTCATGAGGTTTGTTGTGCTTTCTTCATTTCAGACAAGGGTTTGTCAGGTCGCATTCCTCCATTCGTGAAGACTGTCTGCTTCCGGAGCTTTGTGGTGCAGTTGGCCGAATGCTCCATTTTGTTTATGTTTATGTTTTTTTGGTTCAGGATTGCATTTGCAACTCCGTACAATTGACGGAAAGCGCCCTGCGGCAGCTTGGAGTTGCTGGGGCTTTACTAGCCTGAAGATAAAGGGGTGTTGGAGGGTGTTTGGGGGGGGTGTGGTGGGGGGGGCCTGGTTTTGCAGTATTTCGAGGCTCCCGTGGGCATCATTGGGGTTGTGTGTGCTTATGTGTGCTTCTTGGGCCCTGTAAATGAGCGGCATGTAACATTGGGAGTGAGCATAGACGACTTTTACCGCTATTTACAGTGTTTTCTGCCTTTCGGGTTTTGGAGACCTTGCGGGTTGGCCCCCAGCCCCCCAGGCGAGCATCATGAGCTCAGCCTGGGCAGTGGCGTCCGCGTCCGTGGGCGTGTCATGAGCATCAGCCACGGCGAGCGTCACCGGGGGGGCCTGGGGCCCCAGCTGATGCTCATCATGCTAGTCCGGCGCTTCCAACATCGCGAGCGTCAGTTTTCTATTCGTTTCTCCGCCGGGCCGGACACCCCGTGTAGCATGAACCGCGGTTTTCTGTCAGGTCTTGGGTTTTATGATTGGGTCTGCCAGCCAACATTTCGCATGTCGCTTCGACCCTTTTGGGTGCAGGGTATGCCAACTAGTAACTAATCACAGTTTCTTCGGGGCATCTTCTCCACCAACGATCTTCCCTTAGGGTGTGGGGTTTGCGAGTTGAGAGCCTTTAAGTATTATTTGGTTCGCCAACCACCATCCGCTGTTCTTTCGTGGTTTGCAGTTTTCCACCCGCGACCTTCCAGTGTTTATGGTTTGCCAACCATCATCCCATCTTGTTTGAGGGATTGGGCTTGGGGTTTGGAACCCACGGTCTTCTGTTAGGGTTTGGAGTTTGCCAGCGAACCTCTCCTTTTAAGGTGTAGTAGGCTTATTCAACAGCTTAGTGTGTGCTTCTTGTGGGGTGTGGTGTTGCTGCCCCCGATCTTCTTGTAGCGGTTTGCGGGTTTGCCACCGGCGATGTTGTTTCAGGGCTTGGGGTTTGCCAAGGCTTATAAGCTTTTAGAGTTTAGGGTTTGCCAATGTTAGGCTTTGGGTTGGAGGTTTGTTACCCGTGAGATTCTTTCAGCGTCTGGGGTGTGCCGACCAAGGTTTGACATGTCCTTTCGAGGTGCAGGGATTGCAAACCAAGCGTGTTGAATTCGGGTCTTGGGGTTAGCCCCTAGCGGCCCACGATCTTTAGGCATTAGGGTTTTCCGCCCCCTGTCTTCTTTCAGTGCTTGTGGGTTTGCAATCTCTGTTTAGCGTTTAGGGTTTGGGATTTGCCAGCACCCATAACCTTCTTTCGGGGTCTCGCTTCTGCCAACCCACGTTTCACGTTTTCTTTCAACGTTTAGGAGTTGCCCAGCCCAAAAAATAATTCTTTTCTGGTTCCAACCAACATTCTTCTGAGGTGTAGGGTTTGGTCACTAGTCACTCTGATACGGTGTGGGGTTTGCTCAGCACGATCTTTTCGGTTTCGGAGTTTGTCAACCGCGAACTTCGTGGAGAGTTCGAGGATTGCCACCCGCGATCTTTGTTCATGGCTTGCGGCTTGCCGCCCACGATCCTCTTTTTGGGTTTGCCTTTTGCCAACCACGATTTTTTTCAAAGGGTTTGGAGCTTGCCATCAACGACCTTCACTTAAGTTGGGTTTTGCCAACCAGCATGTCCGTTTGAGAATCACATGGTTTGCCCACCGAATTCTGCGCTTCGTTGCTGGACGTCACAAGAGCGGGGACAAAGTCCGGCAGAAGCGAGCAGTGAAACACAGACTGCTCGTTTGGCGTCCAGCCATGCCCCCGGCGACTTCCTGACACCCCCAGCACGCCAGGGTTCTCGTTCTCAGTCCCTAAACTCCAGGACCGCAGGCCTCCAGGTGCTGCTGTGTGCGCCTTCCTTCATATGCCCTAGCTTTTGGGCGCGCGTTTCCCGTTGTTGCCAAGCTGGTCTCCGTCCGTTAGATTTGCAGGTTCGGCGCAGCTTGCGGGGGACTGCTGTGAGATTTCGTCACATGGGCGCGGTTGTCGACTCTGAGACACGGGCAAGTGATGCCTGTGCAAGACGAGAGCATAGCATTGCATGTAGCCGTGCTTTATGCACGAAAAGGTGCCAGGTGCTCGCTGCTTTGCAGAAGGCGTCCTTGCACCGAGTTTGCGAAGACGAGACAACCGCAGACTTCAATCGGCCAACTGCACACGAGAGAGTCGATGTCTTGTCAGAGGGTTGATTGCTACCCATAATCACAGAGCTGCTTAAATCGAGCTTTGTGCGACGCTCTTCTTATTCTAAATCGTCTTTGCGCCTCTCCGCAATGTTTCTTCAACTGTGGACAGCCTGCCTCATGTTCTTGAGTCGTAGCTCAGAACCGAGAATATCTTGATGCCGTCGCCGGTGGTCCTCTGATGTTTCACCTAGTTTTAGCAGCACGCGATGACGCCGCAGTGCGTCAGTCACCGCAAATGCCAGAGTCGGGGCAGGCCCGTGCAGGCAGATGTTCGATTTCAGAGACTTTCAGATGTTCTGACATTCTTCAGAAGTTGCGCCGACATGACTACATGAACGACTTTGTGCCGTGACATGCAAGCAAGGTGTTGAGACTTTCGGCGACTTAACAAAAACAGCAGGGAGGTGTGAAGGCAAGGCGGAGGAAGGTGATCTGAAAGCTTAAAATAACTGTGTATGAAGAAGAGACTGCATTAGCTTCGTGGAGGAATTAAGAAGTCCAGATGCGAACATTGTGAGTTGCTACCACAAGAGCCCAGATAAGAAGCAAAGCAACATCTGGATCAAGCGACGAAGCGGAACATCATGATGATGAAGTATGACAGCGACATCGTACCAGTAAATAGGCAGGCTGAACACGACTGGAGTTTTACAATAGGAACCAAGCAGGAAGGCATGTTACCTTTGTCAGATTTCAGAAGCATGATTTGGCACAGTTGCCGAAGGCAGATTGTACTGATTTCTCGGTTCGTTTGGTACGCATGCAGGAATACGGGGACAGCAGCAGGGTGCCATGTGCAAGAAAAAAGCAACAAAGTGTTGGTGGACACTGACAGCAGATGCTGTGCATCCCAAGGGACACCAAGACAATGCTCTTCGTTGCTCCCTGCAGCAACATCTGCAGTGGCCACTTTACCACTATGGTTTGCGGAGTGATTCGGGGTGCCAGTCAGTTCCACCTGTTTCGCTTTTTGCAGAGTCTTATGAAGGCGTTAACCTTGTTTCTGACACGAATATGAAACGTATCATGCTACATGCAAGACCGGAAAGGCTAAACAGTTGTCCCGGATGCCACCGAATGCCATGCTCCAAGCTGCCCCGACCGCATCGAAGCCGCAGCCCTCGCAGAATCGGTGCTGTTAGCTTCAAAGCGGATTGTGCTGACGGAGGCCATTCCTGTGTCAAAGCTCCCAGTATTGATGGCAAGAGTGCAAGCAAGCAGGGCTGCTGGAACCACAGACGAGGCACTTCGACAAGCCAGGGCAGCAAAGTCTTGGAAGATGGCCGAGAAATTATTTCCATTCTCTCCGCCAGTAGGCCACTCTTGTCAATTGTGCCGCAAATGAGCAGACCAAGCATGTGGACAGCTGGCTGTTTGTTCAGGCCACAAGGGCTGCTGATGGCACGTTCTTCCCAGCTGTTCGAAGCAGCCTCGACGGGACAACGTCGCTTTTCAAAGTCGTTGCAGGCACAATTCTGTCTGCCTTCTGCCCACCACACAAACTCGGCAGTGACGGTGTTGTCGATTTGCTTGCCTTTGACACCCAAGACACTGGCTGCGCAGGTGCTCAAGTTTTTTCAGGGGCTTTTGGGCCTCTTCCGCGGGACTTGGGACGCTTTGCAGATGCCGGAGCCGCTGGAGGTGGCGGGTACGACGGTGCCTTCGACGAAGACTCAAGGGCAGCCAGCAGAGCAGCAGCCCAGCCCATCGTGTTGTGAATTGGCGACTCCCTGGCAGGCTGCTCATCTCTTCCTTGCTTGTTGGGCAGCAGCATGCAGCTGGGATATTGGCTTTTTGGCCCTAGATCGCTGGAGTCAGGCTGCGTCAGATAGAGCCGATTGTGCATGTGCGGTGAAAGTTCGGGTCCATCACTTGTCGGTCTGCGCACTCGACTCACGACTTTCCGGCAGGTATCCACACGCCGTCCGGAAGAGGCGACGGCAGCAATGGACTTACTGAGACCACTTTTTGGAGAGGCCGAGATGAAAACAGTTTTTGACTTCACTCGGATGCTGATGAGCCGATGCAGGTGTCATCGCTCTTCGGCCTCTTCACCCTGCTGCAGGTTGTCGACATCGGACCAGACGGGGAGGCCAGGGCCACGGGCTTTCCTCGTGACCGTCCAGCGCTTCACTCGCATACGGAGCAGTTTTCCCTCGACGCGAGCCGAAGCTTTGAAGGGCCTTGGGTTTCTGGCCCCTGGGCCCTTGGACCCCACCGCACGAGCTTGTCCTGAAAGGCAAGGGGCAGGGAAGGAGTGGGCCGACAAAACCCAAAGTGGCCCAAGGGACCGAAAGAGAGTTCGAGATGTTTGGCAGCCGGCTAGCCTAAACGCAGTAGTGGTCGGCAGCACAGGTTCGGCCAACATGACGTGCCGCAAGCCACAATCCGCAAGACACCAAGGAACCAGGTAAATCCCTTTACTCGTAGCTTGCATTTCCTTTTGCCTGTTCCACTTCGATTTATGTCTACGCCTACGCACTGGGCGAGATGTTTCACACTACCGGCAGTAAAGACAGGCCCGAGTTTAGAGAAATACCCCACGTTTGCGAAGACTGCACCGCGCAGCGAATCCCTGCACAACTTGGGCGAGATTGCACGACTCGCACCGACGGCGTTTGGTCCATGGTGGTGTAAGTAATATTCCATGCCTTGCAAAATCTGCTCGGTAATCCGATGCGAAGCCACATGTTTCTCGCCCGAGTCTTCAGCCTGCGAGCTCTGGGGGCATGCGGTTCCAGTTCCAAACAAGTTTTTCGATTGAAAGGGTTCTCAGTTTTTTGCAGCATCTTCTTAGGCTGGTGTCGAAAGACCTTCACAAGCTTGCGATTCCGTGGAAGAATTATAGTGCGTCAGGGTAAGTAAGCGCATGCTTTGAAGCGAGTCTATTGTGGGGAGAGAGATGGACACAGCGAGGGGTCGAGCAAGGAGAAGAACAAGGCCAAAGCGGACATTGTCAATCAGATGCAGATCCGGTTGCGGCATGTCTATTAGAACAGTAGGCTGGAACATGTCCTTTTCTTGCTACTTACATGAGACTGTGCGTGAGCTGCTTTGTCCGCGACAGTGCCAAGGCGTGCGAATGGTTCGTCTTGTCCGGTTTGTTTGGAAGACTTGGGACCAGATGCAGACGCTGCCTCATTCGTGCATAGAACTGAAAGGGACGTCTTGCAGGCCAGTAAGAGCCAGCTATTGTGTGAGCATTCCATTGCTTCTAAGGACAGGATTGTTGTTGCTCCATGTTCGCACGCAGTGCACTGGAGCTGCTATGCTTCAGCCGTGCGGGCGAAGACGTTTCAAGCTGGACGTTGCCTGATGTGCAGAAAGGCAGGTGATGTAGGAGCAAGAGTTACTGGTAGTGCTATTTGGCGTTGCAGTTTTGTTGTGTGTTTCAGGTTGCCTCTTGGTCCAACATCACCATCTCAAGACTTCTTCGTGATTTCCAAGGATGCGCTTGCAGACGAAAAGGCTTTCCAGATGATTGGGTTTGTGTTTGTTCTTACCTGAAATATGGCTGTATGACATAGGGCTCATGGGGCTCTAGGGATTTAGGTTAGCTGCTATTTAGAAGTTTGGGGTTTGCCAATCTGTCTGGATGCTGCAGGATTTCTTGCCCGGACAGCAGCAGAGGAAGACTGGGTGCCTAGGCTGTGATCGCGTGCTGCCTCATTCATTCGTGCAACAGAGCTTTGTGCAAGGGGTCTTGTGATGAAATTCCTGCGGAATTTCTGGTGGCATCTGCTTGTGCGGACTTGTCCGAGCATTTGCCTTTGCTACACGAAGTCTCGATGTCGCTGGAATGCTTCTCGGCTCTGCCCCTTGACAGGCGATTTAAAGAAGATGCAGGGCGGTTGATGGCAGATGTGCCGGGACGGTGCAATTTCATCAGGTATGTGGCGCAGAAGATTGAGGTGACGCCTTCGGGAGCATGGATGGTTGCTCAGGAGTTTGGCGCTCAGAGCTTGCATCATTTTGGTCGATTGAACGGGAAGGCTCTATGAGGTCTGCCCCTAAAGCCCCGCATCGCCTGCCAAGCAAAACAAGCACAGAGGCATGCGCGAGGGAGCGGTCAGGCCACCTAAGCAGCTAAGCACGACAACAAGGTTGCAGCTGCTTCTTCCAGGACCGCTTTTGGCTTTTGGGAGTGTGGAATTGCATCCAAACCTGGGCTTTGTTGAGTTTTGTCGACAAGAACCTCGCAATTCCAAAGTAACCGGCCGCTCTACGACAAGTCTTTGGCAGCATGAGTTTGGCAGTATGCGAAGATATTCCCACTGCCATGGCAGTCAGTGTGTTTGAGTTTCCGGCGAAAACAGACACCTGTCATCACCCGTCATTTCTGCTCAGCGTTCGAGGCTGTTTGCTGAGAATGCTTTGGGGCGCGGGCCCCTTGCTGGACCCGGTGCAGAAGCAGTGGGCACACGCCCAGCCTCCGTGCCGAGCTTATTTGGGGCTTTGGGCAGGCGTGCTTGCATATGCATTGGTGAATGTTGGCTTTCAGCTCTGGGCGTAAGGTGAGGCTCCCCGTCGGATCATTGTTGGTGTCTGCGTCCTCAGCGGATGGCAATGTTCCGGGCTCTGCTTCCGTGCGCTGTGCGTGCTGCAGCATTTGCTATTGTCTGATCTTCCCGTCCTATGATAATGGGAGTTGTGCATGGAGGTGCCATCTTTGCCATGGCATGTAACATCCCAGGTTTGCCTCAACGAGATCGAGGTACAGAATGCGGCAGCATTCCAGCCCATATTATTGTTTGAGATCCTGCGTGCGGCCAATGGCCTGTTCATCTGGCGTGTTCCACTTCCGATGCATTTGCGGCTCGGGCGGGAATTGAGGTTGCAAGCCACGTGTTCTCGTGGTTTGGTTTCCAGTCTTTCGCATGCCACGATTCCCCTGCTGCTCATGCAGCATCCTACGCACGGGGAGCAAATTCAGGATACATCGGTGAGCTCCTTGTGCTGCGAACCTGTCACTGCGCTCCTAACGATTCATATAACAGATGAAAACCGGTTGCTGCGACATGGAATTATGTTACTGAGTGGGTCGCTTTCATGTCAAGGATCACTCCGCCATCCTAACGCATGCCCCCAAAGCCGAAAGCCAGACTGGCACCCTGCAAGCCTCGCGACGAATCTCAGTTTTCGACTCGGCGGGTCAGGTCTGCTCAGGAACAGACTGAAGGATTTCGAAGACCTTCGATTATGCTGATGCGAGTTTCTAGCGAATTGAGTTGCACCCTGGAGCCAAGCCTATCGATCGGGAGCTCAAAAAAATGGGTCCTCTCCAATCTCGACCCGGGAGCCACCCAAGCCGAATGCGATTTTGTCAAGACGGTAACCTAGTATTTTAGCCATGGTATCTTGTCAATGATGTTGAGCTTGCGCCGTGGACACTCAAACATGGAGAATGCCTAACTGGATTGTTCTGGCGTGGAGCAAAATGCGACAAGCGCAAAATGTTCTCGAGCGCATTCGAGCACTGCTTAGGGGGCGCGTCGTCATCCTGCTTGTTTCTGATTGACGCCCGAGGTTTTGGAATGAGGAGTTCCAGTCCAAGTTTGAAGTCCGCGGTGTGCATCTTTGCCGGGATCGGACGAGGGATAAGAGTGACAGAGAGGTCCGCCAGATAATTAATTCGCGAGTGGCTTTCGAAGGGTTTGGCAGTTCATGTGCCCTCTATGGACTGCGTTGGTCTATTGCTTGTTTCCTCAGTTTTGCTTTGCCGTGGGCTGATCTGTCAGCCTTTGTGCTACACCGTGCTGTTTGCCATCTGTTTGCCTAGAGCTGACCTGAGTTCTGACTCGACCAAATTCTGTAGCCGTGGTCTTGCTGTGGTGCTCGGTGCTCGACAGAAGTCGACAGAGCTGCTTGTAGATTTTGCAGAAATCGCCAAGATTAAGTTGGGCTCCATCCCTACACATCACACTATGCGACATTCCACTTCGCCATCTGTCTGAGCGGAATTTTCGACGAGCAGACCCGGACATCTCCATCCACGTCGGTCATTTCGAAGATGGTCATAGGAGAGTTTCATCTCGTAGACACTCCTTGGAAGCTACATCAGGCTATAACTGTTTCAGCACATGGCTCCGACAGGACAAAGTTTTGGACTTGCTGCGTCATCCCCAAGCTGAGATGTTCGGCCGGCATCAGCAGCTGGCCTGAATAAGTACCCCATCGATGATGCAGAGCTGCAGACATGCAGATCAGAGCCTCAGTGATACTCAGTCCTTGAAGCTCAGGTCTGCCACCGAGATGCCGTAGACTTGCCAAACGTCCGAGCCTCTGACAAAAGCAGAGTCGAAATCGCTGCTTGATTTGTTATTTTCCTCTCTGTGTTTGTGGCCAGTTGTAGATTCGCTTGACTGAGAAGAGATGTCGCCTGGCTATTTTTGTTTCGAGTCTGATGCCAAGCCATGTGCAGCAGAGTCATGCCTGCTGGTGTCTTCATAACTCTGCTCGTTTAGAAGCCTCTTCAGCACGTTCTTGATGCTTGCAGCCAGTGCACCTTTGTTGGCGGTACAAGTACAGTGTGCTGCTGAGCTACGGCACCAAAATCGGCTTGTTAGAAGATTGTTGACTTGTTCTATCTTCTGTTGCTGCTTTTCAACACAGTTGAGGGTTGGGATGTGTTCTGGCAGCTCAATTCAACCAGATCTTGCTGCAGTGTTTCCTTCTGCAAAGGTTGGCGTCACATTCTGCTCAAGACTGCTTGGTTAACAGAGTTCATTGGACCCAGCCGCAGACATGTGCACTAGTCACAGGGCGAGCGTAACCCTCGCTTTGCGAAGCCTTCCAATGAAAGTTATCCACTAAGCTCAAAGGCTTGTGCTTGGATTCCTAATGCCCGAATGCCATGGGTCTGAGCGTGCCACGCTGAGGGCAGCCAGCCCTGCCAGCCCCACACTCTGAAGCAAGGCAGGTAGCTGAACGATATGCCGTTAGGATGCTCTTTAAATTCTAAGGATGAACATACATCCGTTTAATTTCTCCGCAGCTGCCTCAGAACGTCACAAGTTTCCCATCATATGCTCCAACAGACGAAATCTGAGGCGCATCCAGTGTGCTGCTTGGAGGTTTTCCTAATTTGTAGCCGCTCTGTTCTAGAGACGATCGCAAAGCGCAGGAGTCCTGCGGGCGAGGCAGCCATGAGCCCTTCCAGCTCTGAAAGGCGAACTTGGGGGGGTTCTTTCTGTGAGCCCTTTCGAAATGCGGCAAAAACTCCTGCCTCCTGCGGCCGGCAGGTCCTCGAGCAGCGGTTCAGGCTCAGGCGATAGGCCAAAGGAAGCACCGTGGGTGCTTCAGACTCTGCCACAATAGGCTAGACTCTAGACCCTAGACTGCGAATTCACGCCAGGATGGTCCTGACACTTCTGTTTGGCCCGGAGCATCATGTAAATGGTAGGATGCCATGCGTTCTTTCAGAAAACACTGCGGTGAGGCCCAACACGACGAAGGATGTTGCAGCAAAAGCCGCAGGCATCCGATTTCAAGAGTTTCGGAAAGGGCTGTGATATGTCGGAACCGCTGCCTATTTAATATAGTACCGCACCCCGTGAGGGCTTGGTAGACGGATTCGGAGTTCTCAAAGGGAATGTTTCTTGTGCTACGAACCCACTACTTTCTCCACCCTTTTCGGGGCCATGGAACTTCGTTCCTGCATATGCCAACCCCCCCGTGCGTGTGATGCGGATGACGAGTATAGAGGCGGCATGCCGTTGCGAGCTGCGCTATGCTTCACTTGCATGCCTGAGTGCAGGAGAAGAGGAATCTGATTCTGATGAACAGGAGGCATCGACATCGTCATTCGGAGTTTTTGTCTCTCGGCTTTGGTCTGCCAGGCTTCCCGTGAAGAAGCTGAGGAGGAGAAAGAGGAGGAAGATGAAGAGGAGGATCCCGAGGAGAAGGAAGGAGCAGAGCAAAGTGAAGAAGGAAAAGCCAAAGAGGTGAAAGATCCCGATAGTTCGGACTCGTCGGAGGAAGAGAAGGCAAAGAAGGACCAGAAGGAGGACAGACTACCGACGAGCTATGCAGTTGCGAGCTTTGACAGCGTGATAGCCGGCATTAACAAAATCCCGAATTTCTGCCAGGAAGCACGTGTTCGACTTGTGCCGGCGGGCCGCGCCCGCTCGCGATCAGAGAAGGCTTGATCGGGGCTTTGGATGGCACATTTGCGGGGGTTCGAGCATTGCAGGAGCAAAGCAAGCGCTCCAAGTCAAGGAAGAAGGCCAGTGGCTTCCCTTTGACTGCAAGTGAGATGCCATCGGCTGCTTCTTTTCATATGCATGGAGGACCGGTCTGCCAGCAAGCGGAAGAGGCGGGGATTTCTGGGTGGTACATCTGGTGCCTGCTATGTCGAGATCTGGGCTTTGACGGAGGCGCACTTCCAGCTCTCCGAGTCGCAGGCGAAAGTCGCCAAAGCGCCCCAGCCGGGCACGTCCGGTGCCGAAGCGAGACCGCTCGCGCTCCAGGTCGGCGAGAAACAAGAAGGCGGGCAGCTCCTTGTCAAGGTCTTCACAGCACAGCACTGATCCTACAGAGTTCAGCGCAGGATCGCAGCAAATGGTCCAAATCAAGGAAGAAGGCACTGCCTCGAGAGATTAATTTCACTGCGCTGGCTGTTGCAGTAAGATTTGGGCGCAAGTGCTACTGTAGTGCTTGTTTCGCTGTTTCCTTTCTGTTGTTGTTGCCTTTGTCTTCGGGAGGGCAGGGACACAGTTAAGGAAGGAAAAGGCGGGGCGTAGGGGGAGGGTATGGGAGGGTGTGGAGGGGGTGGAACCACATCCAGAGAATTCACCTGCAAAGCCCAAACTCCTGGGCGAACCCGCGACAAAATTGTGTGACGCATGAGTGTTTGTTTATCATCGGTAATGCGCGACGGTTGTTTTTCGATTGTTGCAAACATGTTGCAAAAAACAAATTATGTCACTGTAGAAGATAGACCGTGGAAGAGCACCTAGCATTAACGCCCATCGGCAAGCTCAAGAACCACTCCAGGAAAGCCCCACCGACACTTGACCGATTTGCAGCCTGGGAAAGCTTAGTGGTTGGCTCTGTTGGCTCAATGCCCGGTGCGAAGTGCGAGTCGCTTGCCGCGGTTTTCTGTTTCCCTTTCTCTGTTTCTCTGAGTGTGCGGTTGTAGGGCCTCTTCATGTGTTCGGTGCTGATGCCTCTACGGTTATTTGTCGCATGCAGATGTGTTTTATGGAGGACCGGTCTGCCAGCAAGCGGAAGAGGCGGGGATTTCTGGGTGGTACATCTTGTGCCTGCTATGTCGAGATCTGGGCTTTGACGGAGGCGCACTTCCAGCTCTCCGAGTCGCAGGCGAAAGTCGCCAAAGCGCCCCAGCCGGGCACGTCCGGTGCCGAAGCGCGACCGCTCGCGCTCCAGGTCGGCGAGAAACAAGAAGGCCTCGGGGTGCTTCCTAACCAATCTGCGCTGCAGCCAGGCAGGCACTACCTGCAACTGTCTAGTGTTTTCGGAAAGGACCGCAACAAGCGTTCCAGGTCAAGAAAGAAGGCCACACTCTGCTTCTTAGCAGCTCTGTCGGTTTGTTTCTCTTGGTGGCTTACTCGCGGTTCGTACATATCATACTTCCCCTTCAAGGGTCATGGCAGACGTTTCAGCTTGAAGTGTCAGTCGCGGCTTGAGGCATCATGCAAGCACACATGCGAGATTAACCACCATCATGCTCATGAGCAGGGAGGAGAACTTCCGCCTGACGGAGAAAAACTCATTTGTAGCAATAAATGCAAAGGGATGCGAAAAATGTAGTCGAGGGCGCATGGAGAGAACTTGGAGGACGATGCTCTGAAGCGAACATCAAGACCTCTGGGTCCTATGGAGTTTGTTGGATCTTTGTGTAAGCGGGAGCGTGGCGAGATGTCTTGAAGCTTTCCCCACGCGAGTGGTGTCGCCAAGGAGGCTTGAACCGCAGGCCTCTCGAGAAATGTAAGCTGGGGAGGCTGGAGCAAACCAAACCCTTCTTCAATTGATACGTGTTGTGCAGCGGCAAGCGCCAGACAACCACGAAATCCCTTGAAATGTATCTCCATGCCTGCTATGCCTTTGGCAAGCTCTCTGAATGTCTGCATTGTGCACATCCGGGCCGAGCCCAAGGGCGATTCTCTCTCGAGCCTCCTAGGGTCTGGGGCCTTGGGTTCGAAGATCTCGTGGGTCCGTGTTGGAAGTCGCTTGTTCCTATGGTCGGTGCAGGAAAGGTCCTCCAACAGAAGGAAGAGGTGCGACCTGGGTGGGAGCTCCTGCCTGGCTTGTGAGAGATGGGCTCCTCAAGAGGCATTCCAGCTCCAAGAGTCACAGGAAGAGGCGCGACCTGTTTTAGACTCGCACCGTGTTCCTGCAAGGCTTGCACTTGTCGCAGCAATGCCAGCCGAGTCGAGACAAATTACGGTACGAGCAATGTTGAGGCAGCTCATGGTACATGCTTGTGAGCCGGAGGGCCTGCTTTCATTCCTGGGGTTGGTTACTCTTCGGCATTGCTCATTCTCTGATTCTTGTTTCAGCAAACCTTTTTCTTGGCACAAGTCTTCACTTGCACAGGAGCCTCTCGAAGACCAAGGCGACAAACAAGGCCGGTTGATGCCATGCAAAAATATTCGTCAAGAGATGCTTGCCGTCTCCGCCGTGTCTGACAGGCTGTCGACGATGCCCAGGCAGAATGCCGCGACAGTTTCGTCTTGCGATGTCTTGAATGCATGGAAATCCTTGCAGGCCAGAGCCAAGCCGGCAGCTGCTCCTGCCACCAAGCATGCAGTCTGGCAAGTCTCGCAAATGCCATCTGATCACAGGGGTTGGCTTAGTTCCCCGAGCAAGATCAGTCTTTCATGAATGACTCCATTTCGATCAAGTCCTGCCCCGCAGAAGCACAGAAGATACTTGCCGCTGGCCTGGCCCAGGATCCTCAGAAAGAGATCACCTCCGCGACCAAGCCAACTGGTCAGACTCCAGTGACGGGCTTGGTTGATTGGATGCGGACAGGCCGCATGGGCCTAGTCACGGCCTCGTCCCCCGTTTCTTGGTACATCGTTCATCAGCTTGATGATCGTGTCAAGTTTAAGGACTGTTAGTGGCTTGTAGAGTCTGCCTGTCAGTTCTCTCCTGTGGCGACTGTCACTCCTTTTCGGCTTTAAGGGTGGCTGAGAGACAGTCACGCCGACTGTTCATGGCTTGCCACTCCTTTCGAGGTTCACGTTTCGCCACATGCTCACGGTTTCGCCTTGTGGGTGTTGAGTTTGAGGTTGCGAGTTTCAAGGCTTTGCCAGTCCAGGCTCCAGCCTTTGGGCTTTAGGGCCTCAGGAGTTTCCGTGGATGTATGGTACAGGAAGTTCCAGGCTCAAGAGATGCCCACTCGCAGCGCACTTCTTGATGTCTCTGTGCGCGATCAAAGCGGCTTGATGTGTGGTGTCTGTCCGAGGCCTTGTCTGCTGCGGAAGAGCTGCGGCAGGTCTGCACCTCACTTGCTTCCGAGAGTGCAGAAAGTCTTAATTTCCCGAAAGATTTCATCCCGTGCCGATCATGTCACCAGAGCCGGCATCCAGCACTTGACGTCTTTCGCATGGTGAAAGGCGCTGTTTGGAACGAAGCCGGCGCCGGAAGCCCCAAAGCCTGCGCCTCCGAAAATCTCCTTCGGCATACCCAAGAAGCCGCAGGCCCGAGGTGTTAATGAGTAGCTCCAGCATGAACCTCAAGTGCATTGTATTGTGAGGTGCGTGGAGCCTTGAGCAAGAGGGTCACAGTGATTTGGTGTCAGAGATGCCTTACCAGTAGCAGCTACCCATATGCGCGACTCAGCCAACTTGAGTCAACAGGTCATGGATTGGAGAAGGCGTTCAGCTCCCGAGACAAAGCCCTTGCAGCAGGTTTCCTCGCAGGGTCTGTACTTTGGTGAAGCACGTGATGCCCATTCGCTTGCCTTGATGCCAGAACAGCAGCATGGTGTCTGCGGGAGCCCTGGGCCACAAGACGATGTGTTCATTCACAGAAAGATTAGGAAAGATTTATGTAGTCTGGTTCAAATCCCTGACGATCAGGTTCCAGGCACCGAGTTTGCTTTCCGAGCACATGCAGGTCCGTCTCAGAAGATTTTGATCCTAGCCGAAGGAGTACCGGTAGCCATGAGACGCCGTACAAGCACTGCGATATGAGGGTGGACGAGTACACTTCAAAGGAAGACTGTAGTTGTGTTTGGCCGTGCCAGGTGAGTTGGCCGCAGCCGTCGCCGCTGCTCAAGCGTTGCACAATCCTCGCAATCGGGAGGTTCGTGGGCATGTTGCCAAGTGATTACACATCATGTTGGTGCTCAACGGGTTCTCGGTGCACGTGCCTGACGCGATGTTTTGACAGATATCGCGCAAGATCGCCACCCTCCTGGAGTCAAGACCTTGTTATATTTGGACGCCGAGCACAGTTTCGTAGATGTGTAAAGCATGCGAAGCTCAACTGAGGCAGTGCCCGCCAATGACAGACGAAGCCTGCCACACAGCGAGTGAGCGGTGAGGGGTTTGCTTCTCAGTGTCATGCCAGGCTTTGACTGCCTTGCGCGCGTTGCCGTCTGACCAGGCATGGTTTCCGCGATCACGTGCATGCACAAATGACATGCGCTGTCGGAGAGGTTGTTCAGGTGCTGCAAACCCTGGCAAGCAAGCTACATCCCCAGTGTCCTCAGTGCCTTTGCATGTAGTAGCACTAGGTCCGGCTTTCCGAACTGAAGCGTAAATCAAGGCGTGGCGAGATCTCCGACGCGTCGGTGTGGGCGTGTTGCCCAGAAGAAGCGTCAAGTGAGGCCCAAGTCATCAGTCTCGTTTGGACACGTGCCCCTTTCCCGACTGGCAAGTAAGGTCAGCCATGTTGTGAATCGGCTGGCAGTGGCCGCCTTCAACACAGCGCAGGCATCCCTTGATGCTCCTGAACAGTTTCGCCGCGATACTCGAGCACTTGGAAATCAGGGAGTGCCCCTGCCATCCACGATGGTGACAGAGATGCTGAACAGGCTTGGTGCGGATTGGACCATATTCTCTCATTTTGCTCTGTCTTTGCTCAGAGATGTTTGCCTGATGCGGCAAGGCATCTGCCGAAGTTGGCAACTGCCGCCAAGTCATTGTTGTTGCAAATCCCGGAGGCGGTTGCTCAGTTGGTATAGAGAGGGCTGTGATGTGTCTCTGCTCGTATCGTTACACTCCTTGACTGCCCTTCTCGGATCCTGATAACTTTTCTTTGGAACAGGGTCTTTCAATGCAGAGCCACTGCTTTGCGCCAGAATCAGAACATGTGATGATCATGCCAAGATAACAGCGAAGCTGGAGGAGCGAAGAGGCCGAAGCCGTGAAAGCATGCGCACACTGGAACACAAAGGTGCATTTTCCGAACTTTTCTCAAAATGGGCTGATCTTGCATTTGGGGCTGGGGAAGGCAAGGGATGGGGCTGGGCCGGGCTGGGGCTAGGCCTGTATTGCTGATTTTGAAAGCTGGCCGGGGCTGGGGCTGGCTGGCGGTGGGTTCGGGTCGATTCGATTTTCCTGAATCGGAAATTGGTTTATAGAACGTGGAAACTAGCCCAAAACAGTTTTCCGGATGCCCGACCTTTTGATGTTACCCATTTGAGACCCGCCCTACTTCGCGGCCCGTCCCGCACAATCCTGATCCGTTTGTTCGTGCGAACCCTTCCCTAACCTGGGCTGCGCTGGTGGCGCTGAGGTGGGCTGAAGTGATGGTATTGGCCAACTGCAACAAGCAATTTCTATTTCTTTCTTGAGAGTTTAGGGTTTAGGGTTCGCCAGGTAGTTGACGCCCTGGTCACATTTTTGAATCAACTTGCTGTTATGGGGTGGGGTTGTTGCTTAAACGATCGAAGTATTTGTTCCCCAACTCCACCACTATTTTTAGCCGTGCAAGCCTTCTTGAAAGCATGTGAGTGTTTTCAATCCTATCGTGTGAGCATCCTGTTTGCAATGGGGCGGCTGCACCCCGCCCAACCCCCCCCACTGTTTTAAGCAATGCAAGCTTGCTTCAAGGTATATGATTTTCCATTTCTGAAACCACAATGCGATCATTGTGTTTGCTGCGCCGCTAATGAAAATATCGGAAAATCGAAGTTATCCTTTGCAAACAATGTATATATACACACACACATAAATGACACGGCAGATTAAGATATATGATACACCGGAATCGCCACAAGATGGGGAGTGAATAGCCAAATGAGGAGGCGTGATTAGGATGTATGTCGAACCGGAAACGCCAAATGAGAGGGCGTGTTTAAGATATATTTTGAGCCGGAATCGCCAAATGAAAGGACAGTTTAAAGTATATGATTCAAAAAGAATCGCCAATTGAAGGGGCATGTTTCAGATATATGATGATCCGGAATCGCCAAATGATGGGGCGGTTTAAGATATATGAGCACCAGGAGCAGCAACAGCGGCGGCACGACAGGCAGCACCACCAGCAACAGCAGCACAGCAGCAACACCACGACAAGCACCAGCACCAACGGCAATAACATCCCCAAATAGCTTGACGCACAGGCAAACCCTTAAAAGTAGCGTTCCACAATGGTTTCACGCACAGGCAACCCTAAAACCAGAATCCTCCAAATACAAGCCCAGAAATCTAGAATCCCCCACCAGCTTGACTCACAGGCGAACCCTGAAAAGTAGAATCCCCCAATAGCTTGAGAGCAAACACACCCTGAAAACTAGAATCCCCAAATAGCTTGACGCACAAACAAACCTTGAAATTTGCAATCCCCCACTAGCTTGACGCACAAGCAAACCCCCAAAAGTAGAATCCCCAGAAGCTTGACGAACAAACCAATTAGCTCGACGCACGCGGACGATGACTACTACCCCTACTGCTAGCACTACCACTACGACTGGTGCTACCACTACTACAACTACTAGTGCTACTACTGCTACCACTGCGACTACTACCATTATTATTACTACTACTACTACTACTACTGTTGCTGCAGCTGCTGCTGCTGCTGCTGCTGCTGCTGCTGCTGCTGCTGCTGCTGCTGCTGCTTGGGGCAGCCGCGGTGGCAGCTGAAGAAGAAATCATCGTCAGCATGTGCAATATAGCTATCATTGTGGGTA